TCCTACGCCTCTTCTCCCCCCCCTCCCGCATCCTGAATGAGCTGTAATATTCACACCGAGGCGAAAAAAGAAAATATAATAACAGAAAAAAAGCAGTGTGTACATGATGCAATTCCTTAATAGTGGTGGCTTGGGACATGCTATCAACAACAACAGCATGTTACAAATAATGATGACAGTAGTTAATCAAATAATTTTTTTAAAGAGAGGAAATTAAAAAAAAACACCCCTAGAATTTGGAACTTCGTCATCAGGGTTACCAGAAACATTATGACATTGATTTTTTTCTTCCGCAAAAAATAAAAGAATGAATGTGTACATGTATGTCTATAAATTAACTTATATAATAATTATATTTATTAAAAAATATATTTATTAAATGTAAAATGTATTATAAAATTATTTATATATTTTATGCCCTTTTGTTGTCTGTGTCTATCTGTCTAGCTTTTCCCAGCACTAAATGACCTTTATAATGTCAATGCGCGTCTCTTTGTTCTAACAAACATCAAACAACGACAACAAATATGATAACACATACATAAATGCCCATGTATAAGGAGGTACAGGCTTCTGGCCAAAGACATCTAACTTTCGGGAACTTTTTGTTCAGCAGCTTAGCGGATGAACATGAAGAAACAACACTCGAGATAGGAGTCACCCACTTACTTTTACCAACAAGATTATAACGGTGTAGCCGGAAAAGAAGAAGAAACAACCGGCCCGATTGAAAGTTTGGATAAGATCTTAACAGCCAACGGTAGAGAGATCAGAGCTGAGAAAACTTTTCTCATGGTCAACAGCACTAAGGGCATTAGCACTGACATCAGGGTCAGCGGCCCCCCAAAAAGACCATGAAAACAAACATCGTCGTGCGATCGTCACCTTGTTGACTGATGAACAACGGAGTGTAAAGCCCCGGTTAAACACAACGATAAAATGTATCTGATTCGTCGTACGCGAGAACTGTCTGTTTATCGAACTGTGTTGTTGGTTTACACGTTCCAATCGATCGTCTAGTTTTCTTTTGATCGAGGGGATTCCTCGTCATAAAGGCACCATGTCTCTTTGCGACGACAGCGATTTCCCTGCACTCTATGTGAAGGTTTCGAGCTCGGGACCTAGTGAATGAAAGTGAAAGGCGAACACTGTACCTCTAGATCACAAGAGCACCACCCCCTCCCCTGTTACATTTTGATACAGCAGAACAATGTCTTTAGAAAAGGTTGTCCATACTGTGCCGTGTTGTGTGTAGAAATAAAAGCTTTGACTTGACTGCAGATGTGCAACGCACAGAGTGACCTTGATGCACTTCATCTTTGACGGTCAATTATTATTAAAAATAATAAAATTACTAAAATTTACATAATTTCGCATCAAATCAGGTTGTTCGCGAACTACTCTGCTTATTTTGAGTCGCTGATTCCGAATATGAAATCAGTTTTAAGATGCGATAATTATTTTTAAAATTTTGCGAGGTTTAACCCTCCTTGCGGCATATTATTTCAAAGTGATTCTACGTCACAGCGCGTCCCCCCCCCACCCCAAATCTTAACGTGATCGCACAGAAAATATCAAGCAGCACTTGATTTCTCGACTGAGTCTTCAAGCCGTCATCCGATCGTCCGAATTTTGTCGATTTATCGTATGATCGCTTGATCTAGATCGTCCTGTTTTTGTACAATTCATCGTTACATTCGGGCCATAAGACTAGATCTAATGACATGTTTTGAATTCCTTTGACAGCTGGCATTTCTTTGCTTGCTTTTGCAGTTCTTCTTCTTGCAGACTGATGGCGTGATAAAAACTTATTCTAACAAGTCGTAAGCCTATTTCCTGCTTAGTCCAAAAAAAAAAAAGGTTAATTTCACAGATCATAGACTGGAATTTTTCAGCATTAACTTTTAATTAATTTAAAATAGGATGTGTTTCAAGGTATACGCATGAATTACCCTCCAAAATTATAAAGAAGAGAAGTAATATTTTACGTTTATGACATAGGCGAAGTACAGACGTGCTGATATGTATGATAAACGAGGCAAAACAACAAAAAGAAACGAACCAGTTATACAGCATTTTGACAGTAGTCGTGCTGACGTCCCTAAGAGTTAATACATGTAAAGTGTACTCTTTCGAAAGCATTTATTTTTATGCTGTGATGGGGTTTGAAGACGACAAAAAGAGGGGATAGTACAATATACAGCCGAAATGCTTTAAAATTAGATCGTATGTCTCGTGAAAAGTTACCATAAATTGCAGCTGGGTTCACTGCTTGATGAAGGAAAAGCTTGCCTGACATTCTGCAATGATAACACAGAAACTCCATTGAAGGAGATACGAGCTTGTGATATATACATTTATGACTTAATTGACTCACAGCTTCCAACAATAATCGACGAGGTTTATGGGCACTTTTTTTTTTCATTGAATGTGAGAGGAAACATTAGACTACAAGGTTCAATACATGTACACGTATTTAAGTTCTGACCCGCTCAAGCTTTTAAGCAATGCCAAGCAATTCAAGGAAGGAGTGTCGTTTACAGGGTTCGTGGCACGTGCACCCATCCTTCTTTAACGGACACCGACGGTCTGAGCATTTTTACATACGACATGTACTTTTGGACCTCAATCGCGTAATTAAATATGATTTGATAGTACTGCATCGAAGAGCGGTTTTTTGCACACAGACGGTTGAATGTTGACCTAAGGGTTTTTGTAAGGTGCAGGTTCGAGCTTCCGTTTTCTAACCTC